CATTACCCGAGGGGTGTCGTGTCTGGTGGCGTAGGTTCTGTCGGCCGAGGGTGGAGGAAAGGGGCGTGTTCAAGTGGCGCTTGAGCAGCCACGACTACCTGGGCGCACGTACATGTGTGTCCGAATGGAAGTCGGTCAAAACTCTGCAGGTCAGCGCGTCCGACAGCCCCGACAGAGATAGTGGATGACCTCGAGGAAGCTGGCCTTGAACAAGGACGTCGGACAAAGCAATATTGGACATCGGCCACAACTCACTCCCAGACACCGAACAAAGTTCGCGGTCGAAAGTGTGGTCAACAATGAAATAATTGCTGAAATCCGGGGGAAGCAAGCGTGCCTTCCGACCACACCGCGGAACAATCCACACGATTTTCGCCGCTCGCCAGATAAGTGCCAGGAGATGCGGACTTACCTCTGCACTATCCGTGCGGGTTTGACGAAATTCTTCGACAGCATGAATCGCGATGAACTGTGGAAAATCATGCGAAAATCCGAAGGTTCTCAGCGATACAGGCACATGGTGTTTAAGTTCCATGAAGGGGTTGATGGCGCGCGTCATAGAAAATGGGATAGTCTTCGCAGCATTTGCAATGAACAATGGAGTAAAGCGGAGCTGCTGAGCGTCCCGGGACTACGGAACTTGTCATAGCCCAGCATTTCGAACCCGACTAATAGGCAGGAGAAGCCAAGAACGCAGTTCTAATATGCAATGGCCTTATTCAGCAGTACACAAATACAGTGGGGCTTGCGGGGTCCTTCAGCTTGTCCACTCCGGCATATTTATATGGCTTTCCAGAATATTCCTAGCGTATGGTGTGCGACCAGACATTCTAGACTCATCTCGAATACGACCACTGCCATCGCTATGTGGGTGGTCGCCTCGTACCCCGGGCGGCTGGACTGTGAGCATGACTCAGCTGGTCTGCTCTTTTTGCCAAGTGCCGTGAATGCATGGGGAGTCCTGCCTCCGTAACACCTCCCGCTTTCAGAAAATGGGCCTCATGCTTCTTCCTTCTTGGGTCGATGATGAGGTGTCTCGTCAGTTGTGCTTTTCGGTGACCTTTTCGAGTAGACGGTAGTGACGACTTCGTATCTGCCTTGGGTGTCGGGAACTCAACTGTGTCACCTAGCCCTTCGAGTATCATTTGTCCGTCCGTTATCTCAACGGTGGCTTTCGCTTCTGTTCCTGCTGATACTGCTGCTTTTGCCTTTGTAACTGCTCTTTCTGCTTCTGTTACAGCTGCCTCTGCCACTTCTGTTGCAGTTTTCTCGGTTGCTGTTTTCTCTACTTCCATTGCAGCTACCTCTGCTGCTTCTCTTGCTGATCCTTGTGCTGCTGTTCCCGCTACTGCTACTGCTGCTTTTTCTGTTGCTTCTTCTGCTTCTGTTGCAGCTACATCTGTCGCTTATGTTGCTGATTCTTGTGTTGCTCTTCCTGTAACTGCAGCAGCTGCTGCTAGGCCCCTTTCTGTTGCCATTGCCTCCGTTTCTTTCTCTGCTTCTGTTGCCGCTGCGTCTGCTACTGTTGTCTCGGTTACTGCTTCGTCTGTCCCTGTTGCGTCTGTGCCTGCTACTTTTGCCGCCGATTCTTCTGCTTCTGTGACTATTGTTGCAGCCGCTTTCTCGGCTTTTATTGCTGCCATCGCTTCTGTTGTTGCCATTTTGAGCCTGTCCTCCAGCATGTTCTCCAGCCACTTCGTTACGTCGCCAACACCTGTCGGGTTCCAGCGGCAAATCTGCATGTCTGTAACGAGAGTCATTAAACAGGCTTTCTGTACCTCTATCGACACTTGTCAGACTAAGAAAGCTAATCCTAACTACTACGATCTTCCAGGCCAGCTACGATCGAACAAGCCAAAGGCGTCATGCGTCAACGGCTGATCTTGGAGTCCAGGTGATTGCTAGAGTCCACTACACCTCCGTTACCTTCGGTACTTGTTCTGGGCTAAACATGTTGCGTTCGGGCTTATGGAAGGTCCTCTGCTAATGGCCATCCATTTCTTGTCTAAAGCGTTTCGCTTATTCTATCGTTCACTGTCGGAAACACGAGTAATTGTCTCGTTCAGCGATTCAAAAACGTGTGAAGGAAGTTTGCTTCGGCGTAAATCAATTCTTTGTTCCTTAGAAGTTTGGCATTTCTGGAGTCTGTAATGGCATTTGAAATGAACGCGCCAAGCATGCCAAAGAATGTTGTGTTCGTTTGCGTTGCCACTTGTCATGTCCCATATGAAAAAACTGGAGTTCACCAGCGTCGCCAGTTGTTATAGCCCAGTATTTCGAACTAATGGGCAGAGGAAGCCAAGAGCGCGGTTCCGATAGACAATGGCATGTGGGGGGGCATGTGTATTGGTCGCTGCCTGACCGATGCTTGGCTTTCCTGTCATGACCTCAATCCGTCTGGCGGACGCCAGACTTACTGGCGCGTGAGACACGGACAGCCCACGTCGATGTCTACCCACACGCTGTCCAACCAATCACAGGCCGACCCAGCCAAATAACGCTCTCTCTCTGTCTACTGGCCTGACTGCTGTCAAACCAGCACTTGGACCACGGCTGCCATCCTAGCTGGTCGTATGCTCTCCAAGTCAAATCTATTTCCATCTATTCCCCGTTCCTCTGGCCTCCACCGACTTCTTCTGTACTAAGTAACCATGGTCTGAAGATCGCAGTTGCTTGGGTTTAACTTTCTAACCCCCTGCGATACATGCGGGGTCCTTTATCTCGTCTACTCCAGCATATTTATATGGCTCCGGTCTTTCCAGAATATCCCTAGCGTATGGTGTGCGACAAGACTCGTCTCGACTACGACCACTTTCCTCACTATGGGCAGCTTCTCGAAAGCCAACTTTTGCTGGCCTCAACTCGTCTATCCACGATTACAGTTCACGACCTGCCCTTCGCGGATGGCGCTAAAATCAACGCAACGATGACAGAAGGTATGCAAGGAGCCATGGACCGCCTTATCACCGACTGCGCCAACTTTGGACGGGCAGTCAATGCGAACAAAACGGTTGTCAGACGCCAACTGATGTCAACGACTCCGTGGATGACATGGTTGCGCAGTTGATCTGTTGTGACCAGCTCGCGTCGAAGTGAAATTTCATGAAGTTGCGCAGCCGTTGATCTCGACGTCTGGAAACAGCCAATCACAGTTGCCGCATAGATGTCTTCTGAGCCGACGACAAATAGCAAGCCTGTACGCGTGAACGCTTGCGCTCTGGGCCGTGGAGATTTCCTGCAACTACGCCGCACTTCGGATCACGCCGCTCTATCGGAAGGTCGTCAATCTTCTTCTCTATTATTCTTCGTTCCTTTGTGTACACAATAAACTATTCCTACTACTCTGGCCTGTTAGGACGGCCTAACGAACAGCCCTAGCAAGCAGTAGCTTGCGAAGCATAGCCGCACCCAAGCAGGCTATCGATCGACCTACACGGGCGAACGTACAAAAGCCGTCAATCGATCGATAATTCAGATTTCAAATTACTGTCATCCACTGAGCTAAACAGCCAATGGGACCGGCCACCATTTCAGAAGGGAATCTCACTGGCTCAATAGACATCGTTTACACACGTTTGTTTCCCTTAATTTGTTGTGCCTCTAACACTCAAAGAGTTCTGCCGTTGCACCCTTCTTGTCGTGTTCTCTGTTTGGGGACTCACACAGGACGTCATTTGACAGCAATATCTCGGCCTGGGTATTCGTTACAACATGGCCTTCTCCACACTTCTCTCA